ATTGGCATGTGATGATATCTTCCTGAATCCATCATTACTATTTCCAGTGTTAAGATTGGTCATCAAAACTATTACTTCTTTCGTGTTGTAATCGACTGCCATGTGTATTACCAAGTTGTGATCGACAATCTTGTCAGTTCTAGAGTTGTGGTCGGTCATCAACAATATTCCTTCTTCAGCTTCTATCTACTATGCGAGATAGGTCCTTCCCACATTTTTCCTAGCTTGGCATTCTATCGTAAAATATCCAGCCTCACCGTAATTTTAACACTTGTCTAAGTAGAAATGCGTTGTATAGTGGTCATATTTGCCACACTTAAAGCACTTAACATTATAGGTCGATGACTGACCTCCTCTCCAACTATGTTCACTACCAATTTAGTGTTGTTGATCCCATTCTTCCTTATCACCACCTCAGCCTCCTTGGCCTTGACCACTACGTCCACTTCCTTGAATGTTTTGACAATAGAGAGTTTTCTCACTTGTCTCACTTTGGAGCACTTGTATCATTGCTTACTCCTCCTTTTTCTTCTTTCTTATTTATAGGTTTCAAGAGAACTGACAAACTCTTTTATTGTAAGCTCGGACGAGTCCTTTGCTTGCCTTATTGCACACACTATGTTCTCAAAATCATTCGTTAATGACCTCAAGATCTTTTCAACAATTTGAACTTTGGAAAACATCTCTCCATTTTGATTAAGCTATTTCAACACATTTTCAACACCCAAGATGTATTCAGAAGCTCCTCCCGACTCTTTCATTCTCATACTCTTCATCAAATTATGTAGTATTTATCATCGAATTCGTGTGACTCAGCGATCATTCTTTTACTCCTTCTCCAACACATCACATGCTTTCTTTGAGGTTTTGACACTTTCTATCTTCTTTATTAACAACTCGGTACAGCATGTACATGACTGCATTATCTTTCTCATGTTTTTCTCTCAACGTTTTGTGTGCGGCTGCTGACTATCCTTCGATATTCTCTGGTTCCTCAAAACTATCATCGCCTATCTCCCAATTACTTTGTGATCTCAATAGGACTCTCATCTGCAGATTCCAACAGAAATACTTGACTCCTTTAATTAATTGGAATAGAGTCACATTATTTATTATATTAGCCATCTTGAATCTCTCTCACGCTCAAACACTCAAGTCCTAGTTCTGATTCTAATTTAATAACAATTTTTTAAACTATATATTATTGATTTTCTATCATACAAAAATAAGAATTATATCTGTATATTTAAAGACTACCATAAAAAATCCTAATATTATCTCACTGAAATCAAAATAATAATTCCCAAAATTAAAATAATAACTATTCATGATATTAACAAAATAAAAAAAATCCCAAGAAACTGTTAATCTAATTATTTTTTATTTAACTTTATCCAATTATCTTTTATTTAATTTTAGTGCGTTGTAGAAGAAATCATCAATGGTAGAGGTGGGGTTCCTAATTACAAAGGGAGACGAAGATATCATTGTTTTAGTGAGAGTAGGTGGATTCACAGTAACATTAGGGGAGGTTTTCTAACTCCAGAGACAATGCCACTTCAACAGAGCTTTATTTTGGACTTAGACACTTTGTGCTGGACTAGAATCTTGTTGCAAGCATGCAGTTTCAGCTCCAACTACAAATCTCTTCAAAAAAAATTTGTTTCACTGGGTTTACGCTCTAAAAAATATCCCCTCTAAATAATTAATATAAGTTGATAATGATAACTTCCTTTTTTTCCACTTAATTTCAAGTAACTGGTTAATGATTGGAGCAGTATATCATCATGGCTATAAGAAGGTGGTTGTAACAAGGATATAAGGAGGTTTTCCCTTCTTCTTCTTTATTTTTCTTGTATATTAATGTATTTTGAACTTTTAATTAATTAATTTTTTATGAAAAAAGAAATGAAGTATTAACAATTATCATTATGTTATGGGAGAAGCTTGACTTCTTTTATGTGAAAACATTAAAAAAAAAAAATTCTTGACATTGAGCTTAATGTTCACTAATTCATACACCAACAATCCTTTCTTTTCGTAAAACAATTTAAATCTTTTGCCGAATGGTACAAATACGTGTTTATATAGGAAAGGCTTTATTTGATGTATTTATCTTCAAACAATCTTTCCTATCGTTAGAATGTTACATAACCTCAAAAACACTTAAGGTAATTTTTTTCATGACTTTTAGCTTTTTATCATCAACAACTATATGATAACTAAGAAATAAGAATTACATCTTCTATGATATCATGTGAAAATTTAATAAATCCATCTAATGTTGGTTTGACATTAACTTTACCAATCAGACATCATACTAGTGTTGATTTAAAATTAAGTAATATATTTTTCGTGAATATCTTTATAATAAAACATGAAACTTACCGGATTTTAAGTTTTTTCCCAAAGAATCAATGTTTTTTAAATTGAATCCACTAAATCGAGTTTGGAGTTTAAAGATTCAATCGAATTTAATGAAATAGTATTTTTATAATATAATAAATATATAATAAGTATTTTAGTAATAATATTTAAAAAATAATAATAAAAGTTATTATCATGTTACCATAAATTACAATAAAAATTATAAATATAAAATATAATAATAAGTAAAAGATAAATAATTATTAAAATAAGATAAAAATATAATAAAATAATTATTATTTAAAATTGATATAATTAACATGAAATAAAAAAATTAAAATACATTATATTTTTTATATAAAAAAAAACTATATTAAAAAATTTTGATCCTAATTTCTTTTTTATCAAAAATCGGTTCGAGGAACAAAATTCAATTGATTTTTTTGATTTTGTCCTAATTTTTTCGATAGATTTAATAAAAATTTAGTTATTTAAAGTAACCTACCAATTTCTAGTATGATTCTTGGTTTAACTGATTGAATCGGCCGTTCCAATCCAATTTTTAAAACACGAGAAGAATTTTATAATTGGATTTAAAACACGAGAAGAATTTTATAATTATAACATTGTATTGGTCACTAACCTCAATAGTAATTTGATCAGTTGGATATTCCTCTCTTAGCAAGTAAATCCTTGGTTAATTTTGAATAAACAGCATCTTGAAGAGCTTCTAAGATAGTTGTACGAGAGATAAGACGATTTAAAATATTTAGGGATTCTACAAATTGCTTTCGATATCTTTCCTACCCTAGATTAAGCACGAGGATAAGACAAATATTATATAAGAATAAGATCAACCACTTTCTTTTCCTTTATTTCTAATTTTAACTTTTTTTTTCTTTCACTTATTTTATCCTACTTCTCTCACTCTCATTTTCCCTGTTTCCTATTTTTCAATTTCTTCATCTTACATAAATTACTTTACAACTTATGTTAATGCCGTATTGTAAAATCTATAGTTTATATAAACGTGTGTATAGTACTTACTTGCTTTATTTTTAAAAACATTTTTCAAACCTTATTTTACATACAATAATGATATACTATTATAATATGTAAATAAAATAAAATCACAATTCAATCCTTTCTTCAAATTTTTATATTTATAAAATCTTATAACCTTTATTACTCACTTTAGCACATTCATTGTACTCAAAATTCTGAAATTTGTTAATCTTTTAACTTTCGTTAAAAATGAGAGATTTTTTATTTATAACAAAACCTTTTACACACATTTTCTCACCTTAAAGCCACTGCCCTCCTCACCTATTTTTATTATTTTATGAAGTTGTTTTCTATATATATATTAGTATTTTGGATTAATAGATGATTATTATGATAAATTCATTAGGGAAAAAAATATTAATATGTTGAACCTATTTATCGTCACAATTTTATTATAATTTATGTTTTCTCTTCGACAAAATGCTCCTAGGATATTAGTTAAAAAATAAAAGTAAAATATTGGGATGCGAAGAAATGTAATTTCTTATCATTTTTTAATGTGTTTTCACATTACTTTAAAAAATTATTCTTTTACTATTACCTTAAACCATGTAAAATTGAATTTATTTTATTATTTTAATTTGTTGGCAATGAATAACTCTGGAATCATCTTCATTAATTAATCTAACGGTAGTGCTTTGACGAATTGGTGGAGAGAAAAGACAAAATAGGTTAACATTTTTTAATATCGTTTAGGAAGGCTATAAATTATAGTGAGATAAACGTATAAATTGAGTAAATAATTAGTTAAAGAATAAAACAAAAGCAAATAACAAGTTAATATACAATTTTCGTAAAAAAAAAAAAAGTTAAACTATTTTATAATTTTCTAAACCTACATAGCGATAACGATTGATTAAAAAAAAAACAAGTTATGCCTCCTTTACAATATCATTTACCCATTCAACCATTTGAGATACAATTTTTAATATACATCGCTTATGGTAATTTGGCACTTTCTACTTGGCCATTTAGCAATTAAAGTTGCATTATTCTGACCATGGAAATAGCTAGATGTGGAAGAAAGTGTGGAAACCGCTTACCTACACAAAATATGCCAAATTTAAAGGCCTTTGCCTTAGTCCTACCCTTCTAAACAACTCTTTATTGTTTAGAGTTAAATTAGACTTACCCTATTCTTAAGGGCATGAACATCAGTGATACACCCCATTCTTTATGGCTAGAATGGCACATACGTAACACCCCATCTCGTATCTTCTGTTTTTGCGTGCAAGTTAACTATAGATTTCCTACCTTATTTTCTCCCACTCCAATGAAGTGGTTGGGCTGCGAATCCCACATATTTCTATAATGTTCTTGATTTTCACATCCCTATGTTACAAACACAAAATCTCCTCCTTTTTTTCTTTCTTAATTAAGCTTCTCTTTTCCCATAATTCACCATTAGTTGCACCTACAAAATATACACCCTTTTGAAATGAAATCATTTCCGCTTCAACAAGAAACTTGAGCTACATTTATATTCGACATTACTTTTTCATTATTCTGAATTCCACTAGGCTTGTTAGTGATTTGAGTCCTTAATTAACCACCAACTACATCCATCAATGGCCGCAATCAGCAACATCGGTTTGCAATTTCCACGGAGTTTAAACGATTCAAAGGAGAAGAATGTGAGGTTTCATTCTGCATGCAACGTTACTAACATGTTTAATAAACGAAGGGTTTTGTCAGTGACCGCAAGTTATAGTGATAGTCCTCGAAAAATGGACACTGCGCACAGAGTGAATATGAATGGAATACACGTGGCTGAGGCTCCTCTACAAGCAGGAAAGTTGGCAAAAGAAAGTGCAGCAGATGAAGCTATTGTTACCAGCTTGCGTGGAAGGTTTGTGGAGGGTAAGTTTGTGTTTAGGCAAATTTTTGTTATCAGGTCTTATGAAATTGGACCAGATAAAACTGCCACCATGGAGACACTCATGAATTTTCTTCAGGTTAGCTTCACAATTCCACCATCAGTAAATAACTCAATATATCATATATCCACAATTTTCTGATATTGTGCCTAACAAAATTTATGAACTTCAAAATCATTATGGCCAACCATTACACCATAAAATTGAACAAAAGTATGTTGTGATGTTTGTCAGTATGACAACATAGTGTGTACCTTATGTTGAAGATAGAATGGACAAGAGTGTGATTGAAACAAAGCAATAAAAATTATTTTTCAGGAAACTGCTTTAAATCATGTCACTAGCTCTGGCATCGGGGGAGAAGGTTTTGGAGCAACCCGCGAGATGAGCCTTCGAAAACTCATTTGGGTTGTTACTCGTATTCAAGTTCAAGTACAGAAGTATAGTAAATGGTAAAAATATAATGGTTTCTTAAACATTTTCCTTGCATGTTAATACTCGTGACCTCTTGTATTGATTGTTTGTTCAAAGAATTAAAAACAAGAACATGAATGTGACAGGGGAGACGAAATTGAAGTTGATACTTGGGTCGATGCAGCAGGAAAGAATGGAATGCGAAGAGATTGGATAATCAGGGATCACTACACCAAAGAGATCATAACAAGAGCCACAAGGTGCATAATTTCATCCTTTCCATACACATTCTTTTTCGCAAAAAATCTTAGGTGAGTTGAATTTTGAGATTTATAAGGATCAACTATTCACTAATGATGTTCACATTTTTATGGAAATGGATTCAATCTTTACCTTACCAAACCATCTAGATCAACCTGTATCCACTCTTTTTCCATTCATTCTAATCACAAATGACATTGAATTGAGGTTGTCCCAATATTCAATACATGCTAAAAGAAGTTCTCTGGTGCAGCACATGGGTGATCATGAATAGACAAACAAGAAGACTTTCCAAGATCCCTGAAGAGGTTAAACAAGAACTTATTCCTTTCTACCTAAATAGGCTTGCCGTTCCTACAGAAGAAGTAGACTGTGAGAAGATAGACAAACTCACAGATGACACAGCTGAGAGAATCCGATCGGGATTGGCTGTAAGTTTCGTATCTGATTTCAGCCAAATTTTACACCCCATTCTCTTCATTATCAATCACCATGTTTCCTTTAGCCAAACCTTGCGTTCTCAAAATCAATAACAGTGTCTAGTGTCACACGTAGATTGTGGCTAAGATCATTGTATTAACGCCTTTCTTCTGCATGTAATACAGCCAAGATGGAATGACATGGATGCTAACCAGCATGTCAACAATGTCAAGTACATTGGATGGATTTTAGAGGTATGAATTGATGACATGAGACAAATTATTATGTACTCCATTTCTTATAGACATCAGTGATGATTAATTATATGTGGCATTTATATACTTTTGTTGTTGCAGAGTGTGCCAATTGAAGTTCTAGAACACTATAATATGACAAGCATGACTTTGGAGTATCGACGTGAATGTACCCAATCAAATATTGTGGAATCCATGACGTGTCCAACAGCAAGAGTTTTTGAGTCCAATAATAATTCCAAGAACAGAAAACCCGATCTGCAATACACACACTTGCTTCGCCTGCAACATGATAAAGCAGATGTTGTCCGAGCCAGAACTGAGTGGAATTTCAAGCAAAACCAATAGTGATAGTAACATTGACAAAAAACACAGTATCTATGGATCTTATCTTGTACCCTTTTTTCTGAGTTTCTTTTAGCTTTTCGTTCTTATGGTTTTGCTTTCTAGGATCCTTGAAGTTCTACATTCATTACATTTGTCCTTAATCCTTTTCTGTAAATTCTTTCTGTGAGGAGAACTATAGATGGTTAATTATTCAGAAATTTATTGAATAAAAGCATTTTGATGATAACGGATTAGAATTTCAAAATCTATGGCAAAGAAGTTTGAATGTTATGTTATTGTTCTGAGAATTAATTGCCTAATTCTGCATACACAAAAACCAAATTCTTAAATTAAGTGGTAGAACGTTGCTAGCAACTTTTCAACCACAAATATTTACATGCAAGAGAATTTATGCTCAAACCTATAACTTTTCTCTGCTTACACAATTTGATGAAAAATTAATTAAGAAAAATTATGGATTCGCTAGTCATCATTAAATGAGTATCAGTGATATGTTACTTAATGTGTTTCATCATGTATTTATATTCTTTTGCGGTTCATTTAGTTGATTAGGTTTTGGATGAACCTCTCACCAAATTTATGAGGGAGATTTCTAAGCTTCAAGAAATGGAGTAGTTGATCAACCAAAAGCACTTGTTTCAATCTTTCAGCTGTCAAAGGAGATAACTATTTTCATACAAGTCTTTCATTTTTTAGTATGTTTGGGATATTTAAGCTTGTTTGACCGTCATATAAGTAAAAGATAATGTCATGATGACAGACAGCATCATTAATCAAATTATTCTATTATCACATTATCAATATTAAAATAAATAAACTTAAAGAAAAAAATTACAAAATTAAACTTCTGCTTATATATATATATATATATATATATATATATATATATAAAGAAAAAGAAGAGAGACATGAATAATAATTTAAGTATTGAATAAAATAGATAATTTTGTTTTAAAACTAACTTAGAATAAAGTTAAAAAAAAACTTTCGTTCATTACTTAACATATTTACCTATTATATGCCTAGTATAGTCTACTTAAAAAGTATGAATTTATCTTTGAGTTTGTTTAAAAAGTCTCTTTGAATATGAAAAAACAAAATCAATCTATCTCATTAACGCAAGAAAGAGAGATATGATTAAATAAGTCTACCTAACTAGTATAAGAGAGATTTTTAAACTTAAAATTTATAGTTTATAACTTAAAAAAAAAATCTTCAAAATACTGGCTAAAATGTCTAAATTATTAAGCCAAATTAGATCGTAACATATTATATGTATGTTAGAAGTTATGTGTTTTATTTCCACCAATTGTCTTATATGAATTATGATAAAATAAACAAAGAAAAAATGTTTAAGTGTTGATGATAAAAAATTAGAAAAATAAAATAAATAAAATTTAAATATATTATATTTAAGATTCGATTTTTTTTCTTACCAATATATTTATGTTATGTTTTGGTATGATATTAGTATGTCTTGGTAAATAAATTATATAGCTCTTAACTTTACTAACGAAAAAACTTATTTAATCTCATTAATAGTTTTCTATAAACAATTTTTTTGTTTATATAACTTGTTAGTCACATAATTTTTTTTTCCTAAAATTTTATAAGGAAAAATATTTGAAGTGTTTTAAACTTGATGAAGAAGAAAAATGCCATATAATTTAAACATCATAAATACATAATCTCTCAAAACACACGGCTTGCACTCTTTTATTTATTTATTTATATATATATATATATATATATATATATATATATATATATATATATATATATATGACAAGTTATCAATTATTCATGTTACAATAAAAATAATTCTTATAAAACAATATTCTATATGCATAAATTAATTATCATATATTCCCATCATTATATTATATCAAAGGTTTATAACTATTTTATTAACTCATATACTTATAATTTTTATAAGATTAAATATTGAATTCAATACATTACAACTTCTATAATTACTTAACACAAATATAGGTGGTAGATACACTCTCAAGATAAAACAATTTCTTTTTATACCGTAAATTAAGTTATAAAAGTCTCCTCTAACTTTCACTACCTAATTCTTTTATTTACGTGATTTTAATGATAATTTAATGTGCACACACCACTTTATAATCATAGAAATATCCCTTTATATTTCTTATTCTGCAATATATCATTCATATTTGTACAAAATGATATCTCAATCATTTTATTTTTGCTTACAGACATGTACCACCCTTGCATCACTGTTGGTGTTTTGGCAAGCATACTAATATTATCAATTGCAATACAGTATTTCAATTAAATAAAAGTTGATCCCACGATGAACGATTTCACTAGAAATTTCGAATTGTATGATTACTAAGTGTATTAACGTAAAATGGATTTTTCATAAACGGTTGGATTGAAAACAAACAGTAAAAAGCTATAAAATATATTTAGAGAAGATGAATTATGAGAACTTATGATTGACTTACTTCCTTTTCCCTCATTTGCATAATGGCTAGGTCAAATTCATAATATCAATTAACCTATCAATGTTGATGTCACCTACTCAAATCATTCACATCGATTTTTCAAACATGAAATTCATAAGAAAACCTTGTAAACATAGATTTCTCATACATTTAATAGATTTTCCAGTATTGGGGTTAAGGTGTTAACCAATTGAAACATCCATTACCATCCCTAACAATCAACGTATCAAATATTCTTACTTCACCAAGGGTTTCAAGATATATTCTCCAATATATATGAACATCCAAGATAAAAGCATTAATAGACACAAAGGATAAGAATAACAACATCAAGAACATAAATTAATATATCAAAATATCACCAAGATACAAAAGAGTTCAAAGGAAGTGCACTCAATCCTAAGATAATGAAGTTAGTCATTCACGATGACCATTGCAATGATCTAAATGAAGATGAATTGAAGATTAGACGAAAACTCGATCAGTTGTCACACCTTTCTTCCCAAAAATCTCCAAAATTTCTTACTCAAAACACATCTTATCTATTTATAAAAAAATTTCGCATCATTCGCTTAAGCAAGTAATGGTGATTTTTGCTCAAACAAGAATTTTTCGTTTGAGCGATTGAACTCCCGAGAGTTTTAACGTATTTTCGCTTAAACGAGATCTATCTCGCTCGAGCGAATCTTAGGCTGAAAATCTTCTTCTCTTTTTTCAATTTTTCTTCAATTAACTAGATATTCTTCAAATTCATCATACATTGAGACATAAATATATTATAATCAACATAATTTAAGTTGTTAAATAACAATTCAAAACATAATTATATCAACTTTTGTCACTTAACAATCACCTATTATACATCCAAAACAAATAAATAAATTCATATTCTACACATAAACTAACTTAGAATATATTCCTTTCATAAAAGATTTTCTATCTTGAGAAATTATTTCAATTGAACAAGATTCCTTTAAAAATAATCATTCCTCTCAAAAATAATTTTGCTTATGCAAGATTATTGTTGTTTGAGCGAAACATATATCTCACTTGAGTAACAATTATTCTTTTAAATGAAATTACAACAAAGTCAAATTTCAATCCACTGAAAATCCTGCACTTGAGAGAGTTTAGTTTGAGAGAAAATGAAATTGAGACAATTCTCTCTCCTCTCTCCTCCAGAATCTCTTTGCTCAAACAACCAAATCCTTCTTGAATGAAAAGATTTTAAAAATAAATTTCCTTCCTTTATTGTATTTTCGCTAACACAAATAAATATTACTTGAACAAATTATGCAAATATTAAAATATCTAACACACATAAATAATCTTAATATGTTTCTAGTATAACTTTCAACACAATCTAGTATAATTGGATTGACCTAATTATATTTTCCTCTTACAAAAGGCACGTGCTTCAACTAATTTAATCACAGTCTTTCTAATATAATCATTCACATCATACTAAAACTTTATTTTTCCACAAAATTCCTAGGTTGGTCAAATACATACTTCGATTTTAAACCTTATAAAAAAAAACATTTCGATTTTAGCTTCAGAATCTAAATAATTTATCCTAAAGTAATAAGTAACAAGGAATTGAAAACTAATTTTCTTAATTTTTTTTTTCCAAATTTCAAATCCTCAAAGCTAATATAAGACTTGTAAGAGTTATTTTCTTTAAAAATAATATAAATTTAAAAATTTTATAAAAAAATTTACCTTCTAATTTTTGTCATATATTTATAGTTTAATAATTACTTTATTTTATTACTATTTAATAATTTATATAATTAAATAAGTAAAGAAAATGAACTTTTTCACTTCTTCACTTTCATCCGAATTGATTTAACTTTTTTTCTTAACTTTCTACTATTCTTTTCCTCCTCTTAATTTCTTTTAAGGCTGAAACACAGTAAAATTACCAAGAAAAATGTATACACATCATGTGACACTTTTGTGTTACCCCACTACTGGAATTATTTGAGTTTATATTGAGGGTCCACTGCAAACAAATAATGATGAGGACCATGACACATGAAAAATAATAGACAACTTTAATTGGCAGCAACTTAGGGAGGACAGAAAGTCATTTTGATATGAGAGAAATGTTGCCAGTAAATTTATTTCACTCATTCCGATTTTAGTTGCAACAGTTTACTATGTGAGCAAACATTATTTGATATTTCAAAAGTACATAAATTATAATTCTATATTATAAGATATTAAAAGGAAGTGTTACCATCAGCATAAAGAACATAACATAACTAAAAATTTAAGTTAACAACTCACTATTAGTCTATGACTATATTAGTTAAATTTAGAAAATTAAATTATTAAATTTATAAAAATAAATAACATATAATAATTATATTTTAAAATCAAATTAATAACATTAATAAAGTTAATCTTATTCTCGAATAAATTTGCATCCTTGATATAATTTTAGTGTTATGGGTTAGTGTGAAGTTGAACATATATTTACTTCATGAATACCATTAATTAGTAAGTTTCTTCTTATAC